GCATGGTTTTGAACTGAGGACTTTCTTTTAAAATACCCTGAAGATCATCTGCTCTTCTTTACCACAGCATTTCCAACTCTTTGGAGCTGCCCTTTTCAGTTATGTTTCAGCTGTATGCAGATCTTCATAGCTCCATTATCTTCTGGACTGGTATTTGTGGCTCTTTTAGCTCTTTCAAAGCCAAAAGCAGAACTCTCTTTGTGTAGTTTAAAACTAGAGCAATTGTCCTTTTCAGCTGCTCTAGACTTCTCTTTCTTCTTGATTTGTCTCCTTTCATATTCTGAAGCTTCGGCTTTATCTTCCATGGCTTTCTTTACAACTTTTGCTTCTGTGGTTGCCAATTCCTTGTCCGGGAACATGTACAGACCAAGCCATAGACTAAGGCTAATTTGAACTCAGCAGTACAGAGGCAACATCACGCTAAAGAAACTTAGCAGAGTATGTGTAAGAAGAGGCAGAGCAGTTGCTCTCTGTGGCTGGAAGAATTGGTCTTCACCCCACCTCCTGCAGGTGCAGCTGAGATTCAGCTTGGACTCTGAAGCTGACACAGCCTTACTGCATGCCGGATGATCCCTCTAGGCAGTAGGAGTGGCAACACTACTCCCACTTTTTTCCTTAGTCCTAAACCTTCCTCTCCCTGACATTTCTCCTCTTAGAAACAAGGCTTGACTCCAGCCCTGCCCCCTTCCCTCACTGCCCCAAGGAGCAGATAGATTGCTGAAGGGCAAGGAAGATACAGGAGGCTATGGTGAGGGTAGGGATAGTCAGTGTCTTGGGGGAAGTGAGCTACTGGATAGTAATGAAACTGTCTCAGACAGAATTCTGTTTGACAGCAGAAAGGAACATGATATCATCTTGTCTTACCTGTCATGTATCATGTCATTAATTTCTACTTGGTCATTATTATGAAAAGCTTGCTAACTTGAACCATGTGAAAGGATGTTAGGTCTCGAGGTGCCCAAGGGAGATGGGGCAGAATGAACGAGAAAAGAAGAAAAGAGGAAAGAAGAACTGCTCTTACACACAGCCTTGTGAAGTTTAATGATTCCTCCTCCTCCCCCTTTATTCACGTTTAGTTCCTATATCTATGCCTTTTTTACAGGGATGAATCTGACACCTCGCTATTCTCCCTCAGGACCTCTTATCAGATCCACAACACTGGAATTTTACCTGTGTGACTAAGAAGTCAGCCTTCCAGTGTAAGGATTTCCTTGTCTCTAAGGTGCCACAAATAGAAGTTCACTGTTTGCCTGCACTGATTTTAGACTGTGGGTTGCTATTGCTAGCATTTAGAAAAATTAGAAAAATGCTGTCTGAGTTGAAAAAAATCAAAGCTCATAATTAGTTTGGAATCTCTTTTTTTTTCCAGGAGTAGCCTGCAATTGTGAGTTCTTAGGTCACAGGATGGTTAAGACTGTATAGTATTAATGTCTTTACCTTGTGATGTTTAAAGAGTATAAAGTGAAGAAAGGGAGGCCAGGTACAAATGATAGCCCATTGATATCCACATAAAAGAGAGACAAAATATAAATTATGGGACTGGGACTGAAAACATGTAGCATGAAGCTACCTATGCATTATCTCACCGTTGCTCCTTAGCATTGACTATCTTAGGAATTTGCTGTTCACAAAGTGACTAAGCACTGCTTGAGATTTACAGAGATAAATCTTTGGCTCCAAGAGCATGAAAAGTGATGAAAGACACTGAGAGCTCTGTGGGCTAACCATAGGAGAATCAAGGTTGAAGAAACTTGTGGGAGTCATTCTCACATGTGGCCAACTCTCATTGAGTGAGAGAAAAGCTAAGCTGGCTGAATGGCTTATACTACTTCTACATTAGCAAGGTTTGGATTCATGTTTAAAAAGAAATTAATCAGAACATTGTGGATTCTCCACCCTTGCAGATATGCAACATCTGACTGGGAAAGGCCCTGAGCAGCCTGGTATATATATCAGAAGCTAGGACCCGATGACTATCAGCTGCCCATTCCAACTGAAGTTACTCTCTGACTGTGTGAACTTCAGGAGTTTTACAAGTAACTGACTTTTTTCAACTGAACAATATTACTTGCATTTTTATGTAAGTAATTAGAAGAATTAGGACTGGAATAAATAGTAGGGCCCTAGGGTCAAATTCTGTCATCTCTGTGGAAATTCATTACGTGAATTACCTTCCCATCGTAAGACTGCAAGTGTGGTCTTGTATCTGCAAAACTTACTGATTCTTTGAATTAGTTGTGTCTCTACACCTGTGAAATTACAAACGTGCATGGAGTGTGGTGGTAAAGCAGTAAAAGCCTCTTATGACAGGTCCTAAAGATGTAAGCCTGAGCCTTCTTCCATACTTCTGCTGAAAGACGTACTGAGGGTAAAAGAAAGGGTAATCCATCTGTACTTTGTGACACAGCAGAGAGCCAAAGTCTCTGGGACATGGTTCCAATTAATTTGCTTATTTGGGGATGGAGAGAAAAAGTTGTAACCTTCTCTGTTGGCACAAAGGAGAGGACTTCTTCCATGTAGGGTGATGGAGGTCTGTTATCTGCCACCCAACTTGGGGCTATATCCAGACTTGTCCTTAAGAAGCCTATTCTTTAGGTCAGACCTGCTCTTACAGAAGCTACAGTGCCTCAGGTGCGGAAGGCTGTTGAAGTTTTTAGCTGTTAGACAAATATTTATCTGCCTGAGATTTGAGGATGCCAGCATCCATTCATTAGTGAGTTGGTGATTTGCCAAGTCCCAGAACAGTTTCAAAGCCTTCACTCTCTGAAAACAAAGGACTGAGAAAGCATGAGGCTGGTTTGGTTTGGTATTTTTCATTTGTGTACTAGAGATGGATGGACTGCACAGCTGGTTAAGCAGGTGACTGCTGAGGAGAAGATGTGACTACTCATTTTGTGCTGATGGGAGAAGTCAGCAGAAATCAGGAAGCAGCACTGAATCTGTCTACGTGCAGGAGCAGATATATTTCTTTGTATCTTCCATTTGTGAAGAAGTAGCTTTTAATTGATAAGAACTACAACAACCAAGAAATAGTGCAGTTTTAGAACAAAGCTACTGAAAAGTAAGTCTCCTGATGATTTTAAGTGCCCTATTTCCATGACCACATCAACAGAAACTCCAGGACAAAAGTAAACAGATTAGCTCTCTTGTGATAAATTCCCCCATTTGACATCTCCTGACCAGCAATCGACAAATATACAGGAAAGTAAAGGAAATTATTTGAACTATTTGTGCACCAATGTAGGTAGTATCATGTTACTTTCTTTCTTTTGCAAGATAGTATTTGCTACCAGCAAGCTATGCTCTCAAGGTCCTGCCAAAATATGTGTTATCTTGGAATTAAAACAAGTAGAACATTCCATCACAGACCACCTAGCTCTGGTGCCATGCTGTGCATACTGGAGTCAGGAAATAACACATCTTTCTTACAGTAACTTAATCCCTAAAAACCTTTCACTCTCCTGGTACTTCTCTGTGACAGTTCTCGCAGATCTGTTTCCTTTCTTGCTTCAGTGACAAAGGGAAGAATAATTTGTTAGCGGGAAACTACAACTTGCCATAACCATGGCTTCTCTTAGCATGATTATTCTCTTCAGTTACAAAGTAAGAGCCTATAAAGCTTTATAAACATCACAAAGATAGTTAGAAAATTCCTTCCCATTTCCCATTCACATGTGTTCCCTAAGGCAGTCCTGTGTCTCAGAAGGATGTAGATTCGGCACATATGCAGCTGCCTTCCAAAGTGCTTATCAGCTCTGTTTTAGAGAGACTGAATGAGTTGTGGTTTGTGCTGGAAGTGTTATATCTGACTAGTTTGAATTGCATGCATGAGGTTATATGGGTCCTGATATGGTCCTGTTATATGGATCCCTTCCTGCAGAAAAATTGGTCTCAACATTGTATCTTCACCAAGATTTAGGACCGATTCTCATTCCTCATCTCTCTGTAAGCAATGAACCAACTCTGACAAAATCATAGAATAAGTCAAGTTGGAAGGGACCCATATGGATTATCAAGTCCAACTCCCTGATCCTCATAGGACTATCTAAAATTAAACCATATGATTAAGAGCATTGTCCAGACATCCCTTGAACTCTGACAGGCTTGGTGCCATGACCTCTTCCCTGGGGACCCTGTTCCAGTGACTCACCACCATCTCAGGGAAGAACCTTTTCCTAATGTCCAAACTGAGCTTTCTCTGACTCAGTTTTGTTCCAGAACAACCAGCCACTGGAACAACCTCCCCAGGGAAGTAGTGAATTCCCCAGCAATGGACACTTTTAAGGTTCAGCTGGGCAGCGTGCTGGGACATTTTGTCTAGACTTTGCTTTTGCCAAGAAAGCTTGGACCGGATGATGCTTGAGGTCCCATCCAAACTGCTGTTCTATGAGTTTATGATCTCCTTGTGTCCTCTCAGTGGTCACCAGAGAGAGGTGATCAGCACCTCCCCTTTTACTTCCCCCTTTGGAGAAGTTGTAGACTGTGATGTGATCACCGCTCGGCCTTCTCTTCTCCCACCTGAACAAACCAAGAAACCTCAGATGCTCCTTCTTATATTGAGGTACCCAAAACTACACACAGTAATTTAGGTGGGGGTAACACTAGTGCAATGTAGAGTGTGACAGTTACCTCCCTTGACTGGCAATGCTGTGATTCACCCCAGGGCATGGCTGGCCATTTTGGCTGCCAGGGCACACTGTTGGCTCATATTGAACTTGCTACCAACCCACCCCCCCAGATTTCTTTTTGTAGGACTGCTTTCCAGCCTCTTTTCCTTCAGCTTATATGTTCAATCAGGATTACCCCATCTTGAGTGCACTTGAAATACTCCAAATGAAATGCATGTGCTTAAACATGTTTTTATTATGATCAAAGGAACAACAGAGTACATCTGCAAGACCCTTTACATATGGATACATGGAACACAATTTGAATAGGAAAATGCCATATTTGGTCATGACGATAGAGCCAAAAAAGATTTAAGGAGAAATATGAATTACAAGACTTATGTAATGCATCTTTGGAAAGGGAGGAAGAGCCTTGCAGTATCAGGAACATGAAGAGGAAGCAATTGCTGTGTCACAGTAAGAATGGAGTAGGAATGGTTGGTGCTAGTTTAGAGTTTAATCTGGGTGCTTTTGAGTGACTAGTTCCAGAGGAGTCGCAATGAAGCCTGGCCATAGAGAAACCTGGCTTAGTTAGAATGCTACATTTTATCTTTTTTCTCCATAAAAGTTCTGCTGACAAATTGTGACTGTGTTGTTTCAGTGTGATGATTTGGCTCTACTACTGTTAACTTGCACCACAAACATCTCTGTTCATGCTCATTCTTTCTTTGGGTCCAAATTTCATTCACTTAACTCTTCATCTATGAGTAAATAATATTACTTGAAGAAAGGAAAGCCAAAGGGCCTCTGTTTTCTTGGCATAATTTCTCTGATTTAGCTTTTTTCTTAATAAAGAGGAGCCTCTGGTTTCAGAAAATATGGATGAAAGACAGAGTATGCATTTCTTTTTACCCTTGATACTGCAGTGCTTTGGGTCTTGCTGTGAGGGACAGAAATTCTTTCAGCTTTCTTTGCTTTAAGGGGAAAAGCATCTGCCAAAGAAGAGGATGCTGTTTGTTGGGTTGTGCTTGATCAAGAAGAGGAAAGGGTGGTCAGCCCTAAACTCTTCAGAGTCACTTGCAACCTCTGTGCCAGCTCCTGATGAGCCTACCACCTCACTGCCTGCTTCATAGATTTCTACAAATGCCTCATGGACAGCTTCAGACATCTTCAGGTTCTCTGCTGCAGAGACGCCAGAGAGATTGGCTGATGAGCTGAACAGGTCAGTTATACCCAAGGCCACTAAGACAGCTGTGAGGTTGTATTTTTCCTCAATCTTCACACGTGGGAGGAACACTTTTATTTTCCTCTCTTCCATTAAATCAGAACTGGTCCACTCCGTAAGTTTTTCAAAGGTGATTGCATTCTCAAGCTGCAAGGAGACAAGGAAATGAGGTCTCTGGGATGAGAGCACAACTTCCTTTGTGACAATGCAGTACCAGTGGTGGATTTTTTCTTTATAAACTGACTATTCTTAGCATGGCATATTTCTAGGTATATACAGATTAACGTATCTAAGAGAGAAAAGCAAACTATGGCTTTTTGTTCTTTGTCCTGCTTTCCTGTTTTCTATTTTTAATAGTCTCACTGTCAATTAATTTTATTAATGAGATGGCTACTCAGCAAATTTCACCTAAAGCTCTTCCCTGCTTATCTTCTTTTCTTGTGAAACATATTCTGAAGATCATTCTGTGCCTTTGAATTGTAAGCTCTAGCTACATTAAAGGCCTTCAAGTAACCAGGTGTTAATAGAAACCAGTCGCTAATAAGTGAACTATCATTTATTACTGAGGCATTTAGCTTTGCTCAAAGGCCTCTTCATTTTTATAATTCAACCTCTTTGAATTACTGTACAAGCATTTCAATACACTCTCATTTATTACATAACTTTTCATATTCAGACTATGACCCTGCTAATGACAATAACCTGTGCCCGTATTCTGTTCATATCAACAACAGTGTGTCATATACATTTTACTTTCTGAAATTGCTTTAATCATTCCAGTACCTCTCATATTCAGTATTTAGATAGTTTTATTTTTGAAGGTATGAAGGAAGCATGTTGAGCACTGCCAAACCAAACAGTAATTGCAACTCGTAAAGCTAACATGAACCTCCCAGGATGCTCCATAGCATGCAGGAATACAGATATCAAAACCTTTGGAGTTCAAGCTGCTGGAGTAGCAGCTGCTTAGCTGAGAAGAATCTGTTCTTCAGTGGCCAATAATTAACCCACTAAAGTAATTCCTTAAGCCCTCCATGCTCAGCACAAACTATTGCAGGACAGTTGAGACAACTGCATGCTTCTATGCAACAATCCCATGCTGCTAGTGTTCAGAACTGTTCTGGTGAAGTGTTTAGTATAGCTTTATTGTGAAGAGCCTAAATCTCACTGTGTTTAAGGTTTTATGACACTCAACTGCCAGGGCCATACCTGCTCCAAGCCAGAGACTTCATCAGGCAACAGAACCAGCATGCTCAGCTGCCCACTGGCATACGGAAGCTCCAGGATCTTAATTTTCTCAGAAGCCACCACTGCCACTTTAAATGAACCAAACTGATACATCATCTGCACGGGTCTGGTTTTTTGCTGCAAAACAAAACAATATAGTTTTCACAAAGGTTATTCTTAGAATGTAGAAATAGCCACTTATGATTAAAGCTACTGATTGCTCTTGTTCAGGAAGATTGTATAACAGCTTGTCTACTCTCTTAATAAATTCTAGAAGACACCTCTAAGGTGATGTATCTCCACGTACCTCAGTAATTCTGAAAGGCACTGCCTGGGTTTCTTCAGCCTTAAATGCTTTCTCCCACAATCCTTTGAAGTAAATGGCATTGACAAGGACCATTTCAGTCTGGGGATCCACAGAGCTCGGTTGAAGGATATTTTTGATCATTCCTTTAAGAAGGCATGGGAAAAGAGACATGTATATGACACATCTGTGTATAATACATCTTACTTGGCAATCACAATGTTAAATGAAGGGTAAAGAATTTGTAGGGAAGAGGGTATAGGGCAGCTGTAATCTTGTACTTCTGAGGTTGATTTGTTTGCTGCTGTTGGCAATAGCTGTTGTTTCCTCTCTCTGTAAAGAATTATAATGGAAGATACTAACACCCAGAGGTTTACTTGTTAGAAAATGAGTAAAACTGTATATTTTGTGACAATGGGAAGAACTATTGGAATCGTTTATCCCAGGATGGTCTCCAACCTAAACAGTAGATACAAATACTTCTTGTTTCAAACCAAAGTTGAAATGACATGACTGTATAAAGAAGGTAGCAGGAAAGGAAGAAACCAGAATTTCACTCTACTTTCTTCTTATACTTGTTCTTTTTTATTCTGCTGTCCTCATGAACACAGCAAGCTCTTCCCTCAGTCCTTTCCCACTACTAGCTTAATTATGGCCTGGTTTTCTGCTTCAAAGTGTGATACCATACCAGAGGTCGTGTGATTGTGAATATTATCATTCCAGCTAAAATTCAGCATCTTTTATCTGTGTTTGCTGATATAAAGAGTCCTCTAAAAAAGAGGTGTTTCTGAGGGGGAAAAAAAAGCACCAAAACGTTAAATGATAGTTCCTTATCTGGGAACTGAGCTATTATCCAGGAGGACAGAGGGAGATGTTTAGGGGGTTTTGTCTCCTGACAAAGCATTCTCATATGCTGCTCAAACATGGTGATAGAAGGGAAAATACCTATGCTGATACTTGGCTTGCTCTTACCGTTAGTCTGGTTTTCAACCCAAGAATTGATGAGCTCTCTGGCTTGATCTGCAGCTGTTTGAAAGCTGACAGTTTCCAAGCCTCCATTATATAGTTCCTTCACACATTGTAAGTATTCCTTCAAAGGAAGAGTAAAGCAGTTTTTAGATCAGAATGTCAAAGCATTTTGCAAAAGCGAAATACAAGACTGAAATTAAGGTATATGAATAATATGCTTATTAAAGCTAATCAGTAAGACATGATTCTAGTTCTAAAGCCTCTTAAGATCTGATATTCATCGCTTCAAGCAAGAGTATATGCTCACATGGTTAAAAATGTTCTCCAGAACTGAGCTCGATCAAAGATGGAATTAATTTCAGTTGAAATATGGGGGTTTATTCATTTTGCCAGCTTTTAAACTTATTTTGCAATGGTATTTTCCTCTAATTTCAAATTAAGTGCTCCTTTCAAAGGGAAAACTTGAAATATTTTTGAGAACCTGAAGTTATTTTTCAGGTTTGTTGAGACAAAGGTTGGCGTTAACTCTTTCCAACTAAAGTTACCTTTATTAATTATCATTTGACAGGATTGGATCATGATTGTACTTTGCACAAACATCTTTTTAGTGAGGCATGTGTTTTTTTAAGACTGTAGAGGGTTAGGGCTGTGATAGAGAGGTTGCGAATCCTGCCTTCCATACAGAAGAAAATTTCTTTAGCAGAACCTAAACTAACTGTGCTTTTGCATTACAGAACGGTACAGCTTTGACACAGAAATAAATACACTCAGATCAGATCTTAGAGCAACTCACCGGTAGGATTGGGTATGACTCTTCAGCATAAAGTCTACTGGCAAGGTTGAGTGAATAATTGTCTTTTGGTTGGGTGATTTGAGTGAACACGGTTTTAAGTGAATTGTGGACACTGAGAGATGAGCCGCACTGAAAGGATACATTAATACAAATAAAAAGATAGATTGTTATTCTAGTTTTAGTACCTAGAATATTTTTTATACTATATAAGTAGAGTAGTTCAGACACTTCTGCTTACAAAACTGTTGTTCATCCTGTACATCTTGTTGCTATAACTGATATATTTTTTCTAATGTGTAAAATTCTGTGCTGTTTTTATACTGTAATTTCCTCATACTTCTCTCAGGGGAACTTTTAATTGCCTGCTACATTATCTAGCTCCAGCAGATCAGATAGGCTTTTCTTCATTCACCACCAGTCCCATTTAACCAGTAGCATCCAGCTACCTTGTCTATACATGCAAAAATCTATAATTTTCCTTATATGCTCGATATTACGGTGCTGGGTTTCATCCTATGCCTGTTCTGAATCCTCTCTTACCTCCTTTCTCTCTCTATTCATATGAACAAAGTGTTCTCCCAAACTGGGGGATGCAGAACGCCAGCTGCTCATCAGAGAGGTATTGGAACTGCAAGAGACTGTTTTATCTGCTATATTTTGCTCACAGGAGAAAGTGACATAGAGAAAGAGATGAAATTATTTCTGTACCTGAGGTTTAACAGTGTCTCCAAACCCTGTGATTTTATCAAAGTGAACAACCTGTAATTGAAAATAACAGTAGTTGAAATAACAAGTATGACAAAAATGAAAGTTATGCAACTAAGATTAATTCATGATTCTTGAAGGAAACCTCTTAGCTAACTGTGAATCTGGGTGACTCAAGAGGTGCAATCCATCTGCAACCTCTGTGAATAGCTGGGCCTACTGTTCCCTGTTTAGATGATCTCTTTTTCTGTTGAACATCTATAAATCACTTTCAGTGTGTGCCATTAATAATACTAACTTTTTTCCAGGTAACAAGCCAGGCAATCTCTGTGAAGAGAGCTATAGGAAACTCATGTGAAATATTTTGCAGTTTGAACACATGTTCTGGCTCTTCTCTGGAGATTTTATCTGCTCTCCTTACTCCATACAAAGGACACTAGAATGTATTATTCTCTTTGAGAATGCTACAGCTAACAATGATAAAATTTAAATCCAGTTTCAAGATTTCTGGCTAATTCATTTGTTTAACACTATGGGAGTTAGAGGTGGCCGCAGCTTTTGATAAGTCTGGATCCAGATTTTTTAGTCTCTGGGCTATGCAAGGGATGTTGTCATAATTTATTGCTATGGCTCTATTGAGCTGCAAGAAGGTTGAAGTCTTTCACTGAGACCTCACCTGATATATTTGAGCCCTGGTGTTTTCTCTTGCACCTAGGTAGACCATGGACAGAGCTGAAATGACGCTCAGGGGAGAGTAGAAGATGTTCTTGTTGACATGCTGGACTCTCAGCTCCCTGAATACATCAATACAAAATTCTGTGCTTGCTGCACCGATGGATCCCATTGTGAAACCAGTATTGCCTAAAGCAAACAGCAGAAGTACAATGACGATGTAAGGACAGAATACTGTACAAACACAGCACAATGCACTTTAATAATAGCTTTCAGTCAATGAAAGTAGTTTTGAAGTCATTCTGTGGTAACATGCCTATTGCTATGCTCATTTCTCATACATGTTAAAAAATCCATACTCATAAATCTCTTTCTGTCACATTGTATTCAGTTGCTTTATTGGCAGTACAGTTCCTTGGCGGTCTAAAATCTGTATGTGATTTATGCTTACCTTTTTAAAGCAGCCAAACAACAATTGCCTGTTCTTATTTTCATTCAGTGAAGGCTAGAATTCCTTGGTACTCTGTAGTACCTTACCTTGATGAAAACAAGAAAATATGATCTGTCTTTGATAGACTTGCAAAGCTGTAAATTTCAAGTGCAAATTTCAGATGATTTACTCTAGGTTTGGACAGTTACAAATAAAAGCAGAGGCTGGTTGATGTTTTTGTTTTCTAAAAACACACAAATGCAGTAAAATATCTATTTTTTGCACAGTACTTCCAGTCAGTAGATCTTCAAAGGCTTGTATCTTTACCCTTGTTTTAATAGTGGAAGCATGGACAGGCAATATAATTTGTCTAAGGCCACCTAATCTGGGAGAGGGACTGATGCACAGAATTAATATTCCACCATATTGTGCTTTCAGATATAGCTTGCTTTGCCTGAATGCATTTATATATACTACAGTATAAACTTTCTGAGAAATTAAATTTTGTTAGTGACATTCAAATAAAATAGAAATGCAGACATGATAAAATAGCAATGCCTACTGTAATACAGCACTGTTAAATGAACACTTGTTTTTGCGTAGACCAGCAAAATTTTGTATTTGTTTCTGTCTGAGGTTTCTAGAAGTGCTGGACAGTGTAAGTCCTCTGTGGCAACTGTGCTTATATAACAGTCTAGGTCAGCGTGGATCTAGTTTCTTTCCTGTGATTTATGGAAATTGTGAAAGTTTGATATCTTTTAAAATTCAGCCCTTTATGTAGGTGCTTAATGCTGGGATCTCAGGTTTGCTTTTGGAGCATAAAACTCTACCAAGGTTTTTAGTGACCATGTTCATGGGTATAAATGTACACTGTCACAGAAATTTGTCTTATTTTCCTTTCTGTATACAAGTTCACATTTATAGATTGTGGTAGAAACATAAATCTGTACACCCACACAGCTTTTACCTTGTCTAGTATTCACCAGCTTTGTTTTCCAGAGATGCAATAGTTAGCAAACTTTCACGCTAAACTAAACCTAGTATATTTACTAAATGCCACAATTTTGCTCTCAGTGGACTTCGTTGAACCAGAGGTCAATCAAGCAAATTTATTCTTGGTTGTCAAAAATTAAATTTAAAAGATACTGAACGGGAGGGTAAACTGCTCTGAAATAAGGTATTTTAAGCATAAAATAATAAGCACAAAGAATAAACTTGTAAAAAGTTGTCTGAAAACAAATACTCAGGTTTTACATATAATAAAATTGCATAAACACAGGTGAGAAGACTTTTAGAGAATATCATGTAAATATTCAGTCCTTGCAGATACCAAAGATAATACAATAATTGCTCTCTCCTTAAATTTAGGCATAAAAACGGAATAATATAGTGAGAAGGTAAGTTTTCCTAGAGAAATGCTTACCTTTTGAGCTTCAGCACCAAAGGCAATACAGCTTTCTAGCTGTATGTACAGACCGGCTGAGCCCTTGGGAATTTATACAATTCTGAATTGTGACCTACCCGTTGCTGCTCTTCATAACCTTTGACACCATACAAATAATTTAATGGGATTAGGTCAGATTTTAGTTTCAATGGGCCCCTTTTTGATTGAAGGGATAGTAAATACTAGGTTTTTATTCCATATAACAATGTGTTCTCCAAGAGTACATCAGGATTTGTGGATTGAAGAGCAGGAAACAATGCTCATGTTCCTTTAAGCTTCACTTGTAACTAGGTACTGGCATGTTAGTGAAAACAAAAACTGTGAAAACCTTGGTGATAGAAAATATAATCAGTAGTTACTAGTCAGTCTGTCAAATTGTTATTATGGTTGTGTTAACTGATCAAAACTCTCTTTCAACTGATCCTTTTTGAATGTGAAAAGTGCAGCTGAGCCATGTTAGACAAAAGGTAAGAGCAGGACTTGGCCTATTATTCTACTGACAAATAAAGAAGGGTGCCTGTAAGAAAACCAGTTGAGATGAAAGTCAAAAGCAGGCAAATTTCTTTGAAAAGTTGGGATATTTAAGAAAGATCTTTTGATGAGTGTGAAGGTTTCATAGCAAACTATTTTGTTCTCAGGGAGTAATAGCAAAACAAAGCCTCAAAGAAAAAAAAATAATCACTTCCAAATATGTTTGTAGTATGCACTTGCAATGTATATCTCTGATCTTCCATGGGTTACTTAATAGCCCAGCAGATGACAGAGGAATTGTGAAATCCAGATAAAAGAGTGTTCATGGTCTGTAGGACAATCATAATATACAATAGCAAATATATTTGAGTTATAAAAGCATTTGCTCTGTATAAAAGCTATTGTGCTGTGTTGAAATGATAGAATGGACAAACAGTGAAGAAACCATTCTGACCTCTGTAAAGTACTGTGTGATTTAAAATAAGGCAGTGGGATTCCAAAGTCAGTGCAACATAATTCTTCAGAACATAGGGACATGACTGTGATTTCTGTTAAGGAGAAGAGGTAGGCTCCTGTACTACTGTCAAAAGCTTAAACACTGCAATTTTCGTTGCCACAGTCTGATTCCTTTTGTGAAAATAAATGTACCATAGAAACCTACATTCTCTTTGATGAGTTGTTGTCTCCAAGGCAGTCTGAGGACTTAAGCAAGACAAGATTGTACTGGAAGTATTTTTTTTTTTGTTAGGTCTGTACTCCACAGATGTCAGCCAAGTGTTTTGGTTCGATTTTGTTTGGTGTTTTTTGTTTTCCCACAGATAGGCTGACAGATATGTATCTATACTTAAGCACAGAATAATACTTCTCTTTTTCTCGTTTTTCTTAAAGTCAAGCCTACTGCTTGCACTGTTTCAGCCTTTAACAAAGCTTAAAGATCTGTCTGATAGAAGTGCTTCTCAGAAAACCTTATCCCTACGTATAAAACAAATGTTAGTATGCTGATAGAGAAAGGAAATAGAGAATGAGTCTCCCAGGTATGTTGTTAATCAAAAATCTCCACCATCTGGTGAAACAATGATAGTGAGTTGTGTATATGTATTCTACTCAGCTTTTCATATCTGTTAATATAGAAACCAATGTAGACCAGTTGGTCCTGCCACTTTGAAACATCCTGGTGTTAAGGCAATGAACTGTTTATCGATCAGCCATCCAGGTACTAGAGAAGACGTTCAGCCTCAAAGGGATGCTTCCAGACACTTTAAAGCATTAAGACAGTGCTACCATAGCTGAGAATAATGACGTCATCAAAGATGTCCTTGAGAGGGAGGCAGTAAAGAGGCAGTTTTAGCCTATCCATGTCACATGGGTACAGCTAGGGGGACTCAGTAGTTCAGCTCAACTCCTTTTTCACCTCTCGTCCTTTCAAAGGGAGAGTAGCTGTAAGGGTGAGCAAGCCTTGTGAAACTAGGATAATATATGGTGCTTTTCTTAATGAAAATTCTCAGCGAGAAGCTCTATCCTTGGCTGAGTTGCCAGATAGATGATCCTGAATAATTTCTGTCTCCTGAGAGTCTTCACTACAGAGAAAGAGGGAGTTATCCAGTATGGCCAAAACTGTCAGCCATTTCTTCTGAGCAGACACAAGGTCAGGTCAGTAAAGACAAGGTGTTTCCACAGTAACCCTGGCATATATAATCAAGCTTTATTTTATTTTATTTATTTTATTCATTTTATTTATCTTATTTATTTTCTTTTATTATTTTCTTTTATTATTTGTTCAGTGTATTGCCTCCTTTGGGTGTCATGAATAAGTGCTTTTTATTAACACATCACATTAATGTATCTTAAGAGTGGTGAATAACAACAGGCTGTTTCTCACCCAATAGTTCATTGTACTAGTGTGCTAAGACACTGAACACTTAAGTAAGTACCCACATTCCTTCTTTTGTATCCACTGGCAGAGCTGGTCCCCATTTCATTTGTGTAGCTCAGGAGGTCTAGTGGTACCACAGATACAGGGTGAGGCAGAAGTGCTTCCTAGTGCGATGTGGTCAGAAGAATATCTTGCATATAATAAAATACTAGGAAGTGTGCCTGGATGCTGAGAGTCACAGGCAGTGTATCACAGCTTCCTTTGCTTTTAAGATTCATGTGCAAAAATACTGGTTATCAGGAGTCCTTCCAAGCTGAATACAAAAAGGCTGGAGAGAACATGCAAAAGTGGGCATAAGCTGGCAATACCAAACTAAGAGGAGTTGTCCAGGATAGAAAGAGCTTACAGAGAAATCTGGATAGACTAGATTGCTGTGCAATCACAACTGTATGACTTCAACAGAGCAAGTGCTGGATTCCCTGTGTGGGATAAGGTAACCCTGGCAATACATACAAATTAGGAGGCAAGGGGCTGGAAAGCAGCCCTGCAGAAAAGGATCTGGACATTTGGGTTAGTGGCAAGTTAGTGTAGGGCACAAAAATTGGTTTATGGCAACCAAAAGCATAGCCAGCTGGTTGAGGGAGGTGACTGTCACACTCTACATTGCACTAGTGTTAACCCCCACCTAAATTACTGTGTGTAGTTTTGAGTGCCTCAACATAAGAAGGACATCAGACTACTGGAGTGTGTTCAGAGGAGTGTGACCAAGATAGAGAAAGGCCTCAGGAACAGGACTTACAAGGAGTGGCTGAGGTTTCTTGGTTTGTTCAGGTGGGAGAAGAGAAGGCCGAGCGGTGATCACATCACAGTCTACAACTTCTCCAAAGGGGGAAGTAAAAGGGGAGGTGCTGATCACCTCTCCCTGGTGACCACTGAGAGGACACAAGGAGATCATAGACTCATAGAACAGCAGTTTGGAAGGGACCTCAAGCATCATCCGGTCCAAGCTTTCTTGGCAAAAGCAAAGTCTAGACAAAATGTCCCAGCACGCTGCCCAGCTGAACCTTAAAAGTGTCCATTGCTGGGGAATTCACTACTTCCCTGGGGAGGTTGTTCCAGTGGCTGGTTGTTCTGGAACAAAACTGAGTCAGAGAAAGCTCAGTTTGGACATTAGGAAAAGGTTCTTCCCTGAGATGGTGGTGAGTCACTGGAACAGGGTCCCCAGGGAAGGGGTCATGGCACCAAGCTTGTCAGAGTTCAAGGGATGTCTGGACAATGCTCTTAATCATATGGTTTAATTTTAGATAGTCCTATGAGGATCAGGGAGTTGGACTTGATAATCCCTTCCGACTTGATGTATTCTATGATTCTATGAATCGTATGTGTCTACATCTAATGAGCTGTTTTCTCACACTGTTTATAGTGAACCTCAGATCCGTGCCATAATTTTCACTCTTTTAGTCCCTTTTTCACTAAGGGCCACTTTGTGTTCACAGGAGTTTATTTCCATTTCTACCACAGTGGTCTTCCATATAAGACTTAGCTAGTACATTTAACTCAGATCTGCCTTCCAAGTGTCCCTCAAACCCTTCTCCTGAGGAGTCATGATTTTCCTTCCCTTAATGTATTTTGTTGTACATGAATTACATCAGTGTCCAGACCTGTGTCACAGGCCCTGATCATCGCAAGTGGCCTGTATTTTACGACCTACAAACGTATTCAGTTTTGTCAGTGATCATTTTTTTCACATAGGAATTATAGAATAATATCATCCCAGAGCTGTTTTTTTTTTATACATAGTGAATTTGACTTCTGTGTACAGTTCTCATTCCAGACCTGCACAACAGTTTTGCATGTGTTTGATGCAGAACTTTGTTTCATGTTTTTCTTACAAAAAACATGTTTTGCCTCAAAGAATTGGATTTTCAGGTTCAGAACACACACACAATAAGCAAAGACAGGGAAGGATAAGAAGCTCTGCTTTGATAGCGCATGAGAAAGATGTGCTGCAGTCCTTCCCAGAGGAAGGAAGTTCTAGTTTTCTGTGCTCAAACTGATAGTTAATGCAAGGCCGGTTGTAAGCAACAGAATCTACCCATCAGCAGATAAAGAGCTGGATTAGAGCAGGGTGTCAGCGTAGAATCAGCGCACAGAAGGTCTTGTATAGTCTGCTTGACATGGGATCTAGAGAAAGTAAGCAAACCTTCCCTGCAGTTGGAAGGCTATCAGGGACAGGTATCAATTGCTGCTTTCCAGTGCAGCTGTGCAAAACAGTACAAACAGTCCTGTCACACATCCTTGTTTGACAATGTTTTCCTCAAGAAAGAGGTCAGCTAAAGCTCTGCTGCCCTTTCCTCTGCTGAGCAATTCATTGTAGAGCTGTTCCTATACTAACAGACTTCTGACTACCTGAACTTTGGGCACCTGGGAGTATAAAAGAAACTTTTTTATCCAACAGGATATGAAGTCCAGGTCAGCTCACTGACCAAAGCCTCTCATCCAATCACAATCCTACACAGAACTAGAGATTTTTGTCCTCCTCCTTGTTCCTGGTCTTTTGCCAGTAGGAATAAGCACGTTAATTGTTTTGTGTTCGTCTTCATTCCACATGTGTGATTCTGGAAGCTGTCATTCCATGAGGGACAGAAAAAAACGTTCAAAGAAAGAGAAATCCTTTTAGACTGAGCGGTTGCAGCTGACTGTCTAATTGGTTGTCATTGCAGACTGTTGTGCTGTAACTGTCAGTGATGGCTTCTCTCTCAGTTGTTACGTGGAACTGTGTTTTTTCCCCAGCACAAAGCAAAATGAGGTGTCTTGTCAAGCTCTTTCAGACAGGAGCTTGTAGCCCACCTGGCACCTTTCTGCAGCAGCGCTGTGCCGTTCTGAAAAGATGGATGTTGCTGCCTGCAGTGCTGCCTTGATCTCTCACAGGGGCATTTGTCATTGCTCTTAATTGTCATTGTGATACCCCATATTAGGTCTTAAGTTCATTTAAACTTGACATGGTCTCAGCCTTCATTGTACAGCTGATGACTGCTTAATGCTCCCCCATGGATATTTGATCTGACATAGGTTCATGTGTCCTTCATGGTATATCTTTCAGTGATCACATCCCGCAAGTCAGCAACATGTTGGATGAGAGTGTTTGACCTTGAACCTGAAGATCATCTTCACTGTAGTCGAAAGAGTTTTAGCCTCACCTACATGCAAAGCCTTTTACTTGCTCTCATACACATCACATATTTTGCTGCTGAAACAATATAAAGGCTATCTCTAAATGATGAAAGTGCCTTTGTTCTGATCGAGCTCAAATGCAAAAGAAAGTATACAATAGTCAGAAGCAAGAAGAATCTACCAGGCAGGAATATAGAAGATTTCCCCATGCACGCAAGGATGGAATTTGAAAGGCAAAATTTCTGCTGGAGAAAACTGACAAGGGATGTGAAGAGTAGTAAGAAAAGCTTCTTTAAGAACACCAAAAAGAAGACTAAGGAAAAGTCAGGACGACTGGGGAAGGTTCCTGATGATTTGGAAAAGTGACTAACTTTCAGAAAGGGAAAGGAGGAGAATTCAGGAGACTACAGAGGTTTGCAGTCACTGAAAAGGTGTAGTGCACTGCTGCAAAGCACTAGAGCTAGTGTTCATTACAATCTACATTAAGAAAGCCACTACAACTCTGTAAGATACTGCTGAAAATACCATTTATTGCAGCAAATGTTAAAAAGAAAAAGAGGATAGTATAGCTAATCTTACATGCCCTCAGATGCAGGGAACCCCAAGTTGTGCAGCAGTGGACAGAGCACCAGGGAAGGTGAGGGTCCCATTCATGGAGATAGATGTTGACTGACATTTTGGTCTTTGGAGCTCTTGTAGAATTTTCTAAAGAAGAAAAGAACTGAATTCATTCCTACTCTGTAACAAAAGGATATTCACAAGAAAACATGCTGCTTTGCTTAATGATAAACACAAGGACACAGGTGGTGCACTCGCACATGCCAGGCAGGGTCTACCTACATGTTCCTTTCTTCTGGCCTGCAAAGTTTACCCTGCAGTCCAGGGATGTGTTCAGCAGAGCACAGGATGGGAAGCCAACCTACACGCTTGGTACAGCACAGGCCTGTGCCTTCATGTGTCAACTGTTTTTTGAATCACTAACTCCTTGATGTACAATTGTATTCAAGTTTGAATCACTACAGAAGGCTCCAAAGCAAACCCTTCTGGAAGCACTTCAAGACACATGAAAGAATAATACATTATGTGAAAAGCCAGCACAGATGTACTGAGAGCAAATAAGTCCTGACCAACCACATTGTTTTGTAGGATGGGATGGCTTGTTCTATAAACAAGGGAAGAGAAGAGGATATTGCACACCCTGGCTTTAGAAAAGTCTTCAGAATGATCTCCCAGAATATCCTTGTGGTCAGATTGGAGAGTCATAGACTGAGTAAACAGACAATACTGTGGAAAATTAGCTGGACTTCCAAAAGCAGCAGTAGCAAGACAGTGAGCCAGACCAAGGGTCCCCCTGATGTGTGGGCAGTGCCCTCACCAGCCAGTGCCACACCACAAGATCTGACTGTAGGGAGGCAGAACGGAATGCCGGTAACAGAGTCCATCAACAGCCATTGAATCATGGAACCATAGAATGGTTACGGTTGGAAAGGACCTCAAAATTATCTAGTTCCAAGCCCCTTGTGATGGGTAGGGACTCCTCACATAGACCAGATTGCTTAAAGTTCCATCCAACCTGGCCTTGAACACTCCCAGGATGGAGCATTTGCAACTTCCTTGGGGATATTGCAAGACAAGAACCAGGGACAGGGTCCATCTACAGAGCCCAGGGAACAGTGAGAGCTGGCTGCTCCCTGTGGCATGGGAGATTCACTGACCAGGGCCCAGCCCCATGGCAAGAGGAGAAGGACAGGTCCTGAAATGGGGACAGGTCCTGAAATGGTGACAGGTCCTGAAATGGTGACAGGTCCAACCAAGTCTTCAGGTCATAAGGCAATATAGTGACAAGGCAGGTCCAAAATCAGTCCACAAGCGAGGGTGGGGATGAGGCCTGGTGACCACCAGACAGGTCCACAGTGACAGAGCATGGCTAAGATCAAGCCAGAAAATCAGTCCTCAAGCTTCTGTGATCAATGGAACGAAGAGGCCCATGGCCAGGGAGAAGCAAGGGCCAGCTTCTTCTCCAAAGAAAGACAAAGCAGGAGGCAAAGGGGTCCCACCACCAGCAGGGCAGGAGTCTCACTAGCCAGGGCTCAGTCCCACAAGATCTGGGTAGAGCAGACCCAGAGATCACAGACAGCTCCAGCCAAGAACCCAGGTCATAAGGCAATGTCACGACTATGAGGCAGGTTCAAAGACAAACATCAAAGTCAATTCACATGTTAGAGCTAGCCTCAGGTCCAGTGATCACAAGGCAGGGCCAAGGTCACACTAGGAGTCCTTGGCTAGGCATGGACACAGCTGTGTTTGAGCTGGAGGCTGAAACATCTCTGATGCAGCACAGAGAGGGTCTGAAGGTCCATGTCAGCTTAGAGCTCCTGCATCCATAGGTGTGGGTAGAGGCTCCAGGTGCAGCTGGTCAGGACCATTAAAGGCTTATAAGTGCACCCAGAGCCTTGTACCCACTCACTTATGAGGAAAAGAGATGGACCTGGAGACAAGACTACCAGGCTTTGGTCTGAGGTCCATCAGGAAGCAGGCCTGGAGACAGGCACCTACCGCATGCTTCTGGCAGAGACTGAAATGCCAAGTCTCAGCTGATACGGGCTTTTGCTGTGGGCAACAGTCTTGGCTTGAGGAGTTTCACATAATTTCTTGATGATTAACATAAAATTGCTGTTGTTGATTCAGGTATTGAAAAAAAACAATGTGACAAACTATGAAACAGACCTTTCATCCCACTTCCCCACACTCAACTTCAGTCCAAAACCTCTCTTTCTCTGCTTCCTAGTTTTCTGCTTTCTTGTGACACTCAGTGCTTCCCAGTCTACTTGGTGAAGAAGCAGCAGGCAGGGCAGGAGGTAGGGTTGGTGTATAACTGTGCTTTCTCAGATATCATTTGGGAGCCCCGGCCAACTTTTCCCCCAGGGCCCAGGACATTCTGTGAGTGCTCTTCCTCTGGTGCCCATGATCAGAGCATGCTGCCTGCAAACTCTTGTGCCTTCAGCCATGGCTTTGGTTTGCTTAGGAGAAAGTAGGCCTTCTGTGCAAGACAAATGTGCAGAGAAGCGTGGAGTAGTCTCAGGCAGTTATATTCCCCAAAGGATTGAGAAGATATGTCAGCTCCAAACCTTCCCCAAATGACATGATAAGGAAAAACACACTTAGTCCACAAAGCACTTCTAATGCTGTCCTATGCATCACTAAAAGGAGTGTGATTGCTTTGTGGCTGTTTTTTTTTCTACAGACCCCTAGCAGTGCTGTGTATCTAAAACAATGCAGCACACTGTGGAAGTGGAGCATAATGGAGAGACAGATGGCAATTTATTGACATACCAACTTTGGTCATGCTGCCAGGGAACAAAAAGGATTACGGGACAATACCTAGACTTTATGGGAACTGGGATTCATGTTTTTTAATTCCTCATGGGCTTCAGAGCTCAGAAGCAGCAGGCGGTGTTTCCCCTCATGGCTGCTATTCCCTCATCATGTGTGACACTCTCCATCCTGTCACTTGCAGAGCTGCTCCCCATGAGGGCTGCAGCAGCCACAGTCATCATGGCAGGGCCTTTACAGCAAGTCCTGCTGGCCCAGACCAGCAATGCACAGGCACAGTTCTGAGCCCAGCCATTGACACAGGTGTGTAGATTTTATTCAACTTTGCTGAATCTGTGCTTATACATCTCATTTTAGACCCTACGGAGGAAGTTTTCTCTTTAATAAACCAAATAATTCTATCCCTTCTACAGTACTTGACTGTGATACTATTTTTCCATTCAGGGCACAGACATCTTAAAATTACTCTGGACTTTCACCAAACAACTTTTCTTTTTCTTAAAAATGACCAGGTTCCAAGCATAATGCCACTGCTTTACATTTTCATCATATCAACCAGAATCATCTGCTTGCAGGAGGAATAAAATAAGGACAAAATTAGAACCTATGTTGAGCTCCCAAACCTAGATTTCAACAGATGCCTATCTTTCAGAAGACTGATAGACATCGATTTGTACCCATAGTGACACCTAATAGCCCAAATTAAAAAGAATCAAATAGTTCTGTAGCACAGCGCAAACATTAGGTGTACTCTGTGCTTTGAAAACTCTCTTGTGTATAGTTTTAGGAAGCCACCATTTCAGCCTTGATTTTCTCCATTTCTTTGCTTTAAAATAATCATCAAGCAGAAGAATGATTGAACAATAGAATAGCTGTTTTTTTTTCTTCATGTTATGTTATAAATACTTCCATAATGAATGTTGATAGTTTTATTGTCATTGTACATAGAAAGTACAGAATGACAGTTATGCTGATTTCAGTTTAAGAACAGTTTTATGAACTTACGCAGTCTGCTGCAATACTTTACAAGTCCTGCACTATTTTTTGTTTTAGTCGCTGCAAAATTCTGTTGACTGCTTTTGGCTCTGAGGGAAGCAGAACACAATGTACACAGTAAACCTTGAAATGCCACATCTCTTGAAAATCTTTTTTGCTTCAGTACTTGTGTTAACTGTAGCTAATCCTTTATAACTGTCTTGAGAAGACCAGTATTTGCAATTGTCCCATAAACTAGACTTCATAGGAGCTATGACAATGTGTGTCCCTGCTGCCAGCATGATTTTAAGTTATATTTACTGCTGACTTTACAAATGGTTGAGGCAGCTCCAAAATCTGCCATGTATGTGTCTCCTTTTGTAAGCATTTTTTAAGTACTGATACCGTAAACTGCAGTTCTGCGTGTGTATCCCACCAGAAAGAAGGTTGCTTAACTCAGCAATTAACACTAATAATCCTTTCAATCGGATAAACTGTAACCTGAAAAACCATGACATAGGAAATAACATGTCCTAGAGGATTATTACATCAAAAAGCAATAAGAAATATTTCCTCCTATGATTCTTGTGGGTAATAGAGAGCTTAAACAGTCCAACTTTTAAGACACTCTCCTCATGTTTTTGAAGTTATATCTCTTAGGCATCACCTTGATATATTGTCGTGGTTTAAAACCAGTCAGGCAGCTCGTTCACTCACTCCCCCCCTTCTTTCCCTCCCCCTACTCCCAGGGGGACAGAGAGGAGAATTGAAAAGAATGCAACTCCCACGGGTTGAGATAAGAACAGTTTAGTAACTAAGGTATAACACAAATCACTACTGCTACCACCAATGATAATAATGATAAAGGAAATAACAAGGGAAGAGAATACATCACCTCACCACCAGCCAACCGATAACTTGCCCCCCCCCACCCCGACGAAGCACCAACTGATACCTCGTCCAACCCGCAGTCCTAGCCCTTTGGGGTAACTCTCAGTTACATCCTGGGCCATGACGTGCTGTGGTATGGAATACCTCTTTGGCTAGCTTGGGTCAGGTGTCCTGTCTCTGCTTCCTCCCGGCTTCCCCTCCTCCCTGGCAGAGCATGAGACTCACAAAGTCCTTGGTCAGACTAAAACATCCTTGTTATCAGCTCTGTTCCCAGGCCAAAAGTCAAAACACAGCACTGCACCAGCTACTAAGAAGGTGAAAAATGACTGCTACTGCTGAACCCAGGACATATATTTACAGGGGAAATCTTTTAAAGCTGTCTGGGAATACAATAGCAAAATTAGTTATTGATGTGCCGTATGGACATAAGCTGAAGGTAAGAAAAGGAGCTATAGGGCTTACCTTGCTTAAGCTCAAAAGCTCTTTAGTGGCTATATGGCTACATTCTGGTTTTGAAAATAAGATCCGAATCCTATTCTAACCCACTTCTCTCCCACTACCCACTATATAGTATGTGTCAGGTTGTGTGGTGCAGTAACCCAGAATAGAATCACAGAATCATAGAATAGTTAGGGTTGGAAAGGACCTTAAAATCATCTAGTTCCAACCCCCCTGCCATGGGCAGGGACACCTCACACTAAACCATATCACCCAAGGCCTCGTCCAACCTGGTCTTGAACACTGCCAGGGATGGAGCATTCACAACCTCCCTGGGCAACCCATTCCAGTGTCTCACCACCCTAACAGGAAAGAATTTCCTTCTTATATCCAATCTAAACTTCCCCTGTTTAAGTTTGAACCCATTACCCCTTGTCCTATAACTACAGTCCCTAATGAAGAGTCCCTCCCCAGCATCCCTAAAGGCCCCCTTCAGATATTGGAAGGCTGCTAGGAGGTCTCCACGCAGCCTTCTCTTCTCCAGGCTGAACAGCCCCAATTTCCTTAGCCTGTCTTCATACTGGAGGTGCTCCAGTCCCCTGATCATCCTCATGGCCCTTCTCTGGACTTGTTCCAACAGTTCCATGTCCTTTTGATGTTGAGGACACCAGAACTGCACACAATACTCAGGTGAGGTCTCACGAGAGCAGAGTAGAGGGGCAGGATCACCTCCTTCAATCTGCTGGTCATGCTCCTTTTGATGCAGCCCAGGATACGGTTGGCTTTCTGGGCTGCAAGCGCACACCGCTGGCCCATGTTCATTTTCTCATCAACCAACACCCCCAAGTCCTTCTCCTCAGGGCTGCTGTGAATCTCTTCTCTGCCCAACCTGTAGCTGTGCCTGGGATTGCTCCGACCCGGGTGTAGGACCTTGCACTTGGCATGGTTAAACTTCATGAGGTTGCCATCAGCCCACCTCACAAGCATGTTGAGGTCCCTCTGGATGGCATTCCTTCCCTCCAGGGTATCAACCAAACCACACATCTTGGTGTCATCGGCAAACTTGCTGAGGGCGCACTCAATCCCACTGTCCATGCCACCAACAAAGATGTTGAACAAGACCGGTCCCAACACCGATCCCTGAGGGACACCACTCGTTACTGGTCTCCAGCCAGACATTGAGCCATTGATCACAACTCTTTGTGTGCGGCCATCCAGCCAGTTCTTTATCCACCAAGTGGTCCACCTATCAAATTTATGTTGCTCCAATTTAGAGACAAGGATGTCGTGTGGGACAGTGTCGAACACTATACACAAGTCCAGGCAGACGACATCAACTGCTCTACCCCTGTCCATCAGTTCCATAGCCCCATCATAGAAGGCCACCAAATTGGTCAGGCAGGATTTCCCCTTAGTGAAGCCATGCTGGCTGTCACCAACCACCTTGTTGTTTTTCATGTGCCTTAGTGTGCCTTCCAGGAGAATCTGCTCCAAGATTTTGGCAGGCACAGAGGTGAGACTGACTGGTCTGTAATTCCCCGGGCCATCCATTTTCCCCTTCTTGAAAATGGGGGTTATATTTCCCTGTTTCCAGTCATTGGGAACTTCACCTGACTGCCATGAGTTTTCAAATATGATGGCCAGAGGCTTCGCAGCTTCATTTGCCAGCTCCTTCAGGACCCACAGATGGATCTCATCGGGACCCATGGACTTGTGCACATTCAGATTTTTAAGGTGGTCTCAAACCAGTTCCACTCCTACAGTGGGCTCAAGGTCTTCATTCTCACAGTCCCTGTGTCTGCCTTCCAAGACTTGAGTGCCGTGGTCAAAACATTTGCCAGTGAAGACCGAGGCAAAGAAGTCATTCAGAACCTCAGCCTTCTCCAAATCCTGTGTAGCCAGTTCTCCCGAGAGCTTCCTGAGGGGGCCTACATTTTCTCTAGTCTGTTTTTTATTTGCTGGGTACTTGTAGAATCCCTTCCTGTTATCTTTAATACCTCTAGCTAAGTTTAATTCTAACTGGGCCTTAGCTTTCCTAACCTGGTCCCTAGCTTCCCAGACAACATCCCTGTACTCTTCCCATGCCACCTGTCCTTGCTTCCACTTATTACAAGCCTCTTTTTTCATCTGAATTTTCCCCAGGAGCTCCTTATCCATCCAAGGAGGTCTCCTGGCCCTCCTGCTGCACTTCCTTCTGGTTGGGATGCAACACTCCTGAGCTTGTAGCAGGTGATCCTTGAATATCAACCCACAGTCTTGGGCCCCCCTGCCCTCTAGGGCTGTATCCCATGGAACCTTACTAAGCAGGTTCCTGAAGAGGCCAAAGTCTGCTCTTTTGAAGTCCAGGGCAGTGAGCTTGCTGCACGCTCTTCTCACTGTCCTGGGGATCTGAAATTCGACCATCTCATGATCGCTGCATCCAAGGCTGCCCTGGAGAGTCACATTTCCAACCAGCCCTTCCCTGTTGGTGAGCAAGAGGTCAAGCATGGCACCTCTCCTTGCCGGCTCCTCTATTACTTGCAGAAAGAAGTTGTCTTCTACACAATCGAGGAACCTCCTGGATTGCTTGTGCTGGGCCGTACCATGCTTCCAACAGATGTCAGGGTGGTTGAAGTCACCCATGAGAACAAGGGCCTGCGAGCGTGAGGCTTTTTCTATCTGTCTATGGAGTGCTTCATCCGCAGGTTCTCCTTGATCAGGCGGTCTGTAACAGATCCCCACAGTAATGTCTCCCATAGCTATATTCCCTTTAACCCTGACCCACAAACTCTCTGTTGACTGCTCACCTGTCCCCAGACAGAGTTCCATACTCTCCAGCCTATCCCTAACATAAAGGGCAACTCCCCCTCCCTGCCTGCCAGGCCTCTCCTTTCTAAAGAGCCTGTAACCTTCCATTCCAACACTCCAGTCATAGGAGACATCCCACCATGTTTCTGTGATGCCTATTATATCATACCCCCGTAGACGTGCACACATCTCTAATTCCTCTTGTTTGTTCCCTATGCTATGGGCATTTGTAGAGAGGCATCTGAGCTGAGCTCCAACTGAAGCCGGCTCATTGGCTGGAGCGGCTGGGATATCTCTACAGTGCTCCAAACATTTATTATAGGTTCTGGCAACTGACTGCGTGTGCTGGGATGGAATGATGCCCCCCTCCCCCAACACATCTAGTTTAAAGCCTCCTTGACCAGACTGGCAAGCCTCCTGCCAAAACTGCTCTTTCCCTTAGACCAGCTCCACCAGCCCCCAGTAGACCTGGCCTACAAGCTTGGGTCCCGTGTTCAATATACCCAAACCCCTGACTATGACACCACCCTTTTAACCATTTATTAACCTGGCCAATCCTCCTAGCTTGTTTTAGGTCATCCCCTGTATCCTGGAGAATTGATGAAAAGACTTTCTGAGCTCCAGAGCCCCTAACCACCTCCCCCAGGGGTCTGTAGTCCTTCTATAGGATAGGTAATGACAATGACATGTTTATTTTGTAATGCTTTTATTGGAATAAATAGAAGGACCACCAATTAACATTCACAAAATCAATGGTACGTCACTGCAATGAAGGTGCGAAATTGTGTCTGTCAGGAAGATATTGTATTTGGAGATGATAATCTATGAAGAAATGGTGGACTTTCTAGATGTTTCCTCAGAACAAGAGAGACAGACACAGGCACAGAGAGACACAGACTTATACTAACATGCAGCACAAAGAGCCCACATGCATTCCTGGAAGAAGAATGCTTTGCTAAAGCACAGAATTATGTCTGCAAGTTGCCCAGGCATCAATTCAGTGGTGGCTGTCCATAAAGGAACTGGGTTATTCTGAAAGCTGTGTTTCTTTCACTAACCACCTATAGAGAAACCAGATTGTCTATTAAAGTGGAAGTATTTCACACAAAAATCAAAACACTAGCCTGTCTCTCAAGTTATTCAATGGTGATGGGAGATATTCCTAAACTACCTCCTGAAATTCTCATTCAATCTTGGATATAAGTCCTGAATAAAAGTGGTGTGAGCAGAAATACCTGCACCTAAACATTTGAAAAGTCATACACTTCTTCAAGGACATCTCACTAGATATTGAAGGCTTTCCATTTGGAGAAAATATTGAAGAGATGAGATTATACTACAATCCTACAGTAAAGGGGATCTGTTTCTGAGGGGAAGACAAACTTTATTTCCAGCTCCTTTTCTTCTTAGGGAGAACAATATTTACCAACAAAAAGGATGAAGTTGGTTGGATTATGTTTGATGAAGAAAAGGAAAGGGCGGTCAGCCTTAAACTCTTCAAACTCAGAAGATTGTTTGATGTCTCCAATCACATCTGCTGAGCCAGCCATCTCAGTGCCCTCTTCATTGACTTCCATGTATGCCATATGGACGGCCTCTGATATCTTCAGATTCTTTGCTGAAGAGATGCCAGACAGATCAGCTGAAGAGCTGAACAGGTCAGTCATACCCAAGGCCTTTAAGACAGCTATGAGGTTGTATTTTTCCTCAATCTTCATGCGCGGGAGGTACACTTTCACTCTCTTCTTTTCCATCACACTGGGACTGGTCCACTCCTTAAATTTATCAAAGTTGATTTTTTTCTCAATCTGCAAAGAGAGGCAGGAATAAAATGCCTGAGACGAAAGTGCAAGGGCCTTAATGGCTGTGTTTATAGCATTTGCTACTATATTTTTCTTTTACTTTGTGTACACAATAGAACTGATACTTATCTTAAATATATTTGCTTATATCGTATGCTTCCTCCTGACTATGACCTATGTATCATCTGTCTTAATGAAGTTCTCCAAAACATTGTCATCTTAAAATTTCCTCATCAGATCAAAAGAACTGTTCCTCCTGGTATATATTTTATTGATCACTTCCCTCACCTTAGTTCCTTTCTAGTACTGCGTTTCCCACATTCCTTTTATTCAGCTCCTGTACGGTCTTCCTCATCACTTCATTTTTTAGTTCCCCTCAGATAAGGTTTTCTTACTTAGCAAACCCTTGAGTGCCTTCCTGGAAGACTGAAGTCACTCAAGATTTTAAAAAAATCTTGCTAGCATGTCTGTTTCTGGTACCTGATGGAGACCGATGCATATAACAACTGATTCAGGGCTATAGTAGCACTATTCTCCTTTACTTTTGTTTTATGAGCATGGAGCCCAGTGCTCTTCTAAGATGCCAGTCTCAGCCTGAGCACTTGGTAGCACTTGGGGGGCTTTTGTGCTCCCCCACCTGCTCAGCACAGCCATGGGGTAGGCAGCTGGGATGTAAATGAACAGCAAAAGATCTGGTGGCAGCCAGGTCCTACTGAACTGGTACCTCTTCTGTTTCCCCTGACAGGGCCATACCTGCTCCAGACCAGAGACATCATCGGGCAACAGCACCAGCATGCTCAGCTTTCCACTGGCATATGGCAGCTCCAGGATCTTAATTTTCTCTGAAGGCACAATTCCCATTTTGAAGGTACTGTTCTGACACATCATTTGCACAGGTCTGCTTTCTTGCTGCAGAAACACAAACGTGAGATAATGTCACTGGGGAGTGAATTTTTTCTTTAAGCAGGCAAAAGTACAAATTCTTTGAAAGGGACAGGAATTGATCTTGAAGCATGCTGCCTTTGAAAAAGACCTGTGCCTCCATTTTCCTCTCTTATATGCTGGTGTGCCCTGGAAGCCTGGTCATACACAGCTCATGCAAACACCCCATGGGCTTAGTCCCAGGCTCTGGCAGTGAGGGACCTAGGTAAATCATCCAACCTGTGACAGCAACAGGCTGTATGTGTAACAGGTTGGCTGTGCAAGCCAACAGCTGTCCTGGCCAGAAGATGGGTCCATGCCCTCCTACCTCTGTCACACTGAAGGGTGCTTCCCGAGTGTCTTCTTCTTTAAATGCTGTCTTCCATATCGCTTTGAAGTAAATGGCATTCACAAGGACCAGTGCAGTATCTGGATTAACAGAGCCTGCCACAAGGAAATCTTGGATCTGTCCTTTAAGAAAGAGTCAGGGCAGAGAGTGATAAGTTACACCTGGTGTGCACAAATACCTGCAATGAAGGGCATGGGGATGGAGGGGTGCCACTTTGTGGAATTTTGTTTTCATAGCAATAAGCAACCTGCTTTTGCTTGACCTCTTTTCCCTAGACATTATGAGGAGAAGAAGACAAGGGTATAGATTACGGTAGGTGGGGGAAAATAACTGCTACCCATTTTTCAGTCCTCACCATTTGTCTCTTTCTCCACCCAAGAATTAATGAGCTGTCTTGCTTCCTCTGCAGCTGTTTTGAAGTCAACTTCTTCCATACCTGCTTTGTAGAATTTCTTTGCACACTTTAAGTATTCCTGTAAGCAGAAGGATTGCTGTTGTCAGACAGATGAGTACTTGAAAATGTATGAATGTGAAATGCAAGACTGAAATGAAGCAGAATGGTTAAAAGAACAGTGAACCTATGCCCCTATGTTTGAACATGTCAGTCACTGCTGTCTTCCTGTAACTGAATCTTAAAGCTGTATAAGAAAGACTACTTCAAATACTTAGATCAGCACTTTTTTTAAGATAGGATTTTAAATTTAATTTTTTAAATATTTTCATAATTTTACTAGAACATGTTCAGTTTAATAATAAATAAATAATAATAATAAAATAAACATTTTTAAGGACAAACAATGTTTGTTTCCTTTTCTTTGTGACTGCTTTTTATTTTTAATACTGTGTTCTTCCATTCTTAGATTCCAAAACCAAAGCTTCCTTTCACTGGGAAGATTTGATATTTGGCCTTGAAAAAAAAAAAAATGCAAATATGACAATTTCAGTCTTTGTGCTTTCAAGTCATAAAATATTTTTCATTTCCCTTAAAAGTTAAATTTTTCATTAAGAGACATATTCTAGCAAATGAACAGCTATCTTGATTACTGTCTATGACTGTTGCAACATGGGTGTATTTTATGCCATTATGCTTTTGCCTGACTCCATATAACAACCACAAGAAGGTTCAAAGTCATTCTGAGCAAATTCCCCTTATGGCTCACAACCATCAACAACAGCAGGTTGGTGATGGTGGTGCTTCGGTAGGGTGGAGTCACAGGGCCTTTATGGGGAAGCCTGCAGAAGTCAGGTCCCAGTACAACTCACCGTAAGAATGGGGTATGTTTTTTCAATATAGAGTTTGTCAGCAAACTTCAGCGAGTATGTAGCATTCAGCATGGTGAGGTCTGAGAGAAGATCCTTGAATGCATTATGGATGTATTCAGAAGTGCCACACTGAGGTGATGACATGAAAATAAGAAGACACATTGCATTAGTTTCTTCTTATAGTATCATAGAATCATAGAATGGTTAGAGTTGGGAAGGACCTTAAGATCATCTCATTCCAACTGCCCCTAATATGACATAAGACCTTAAAGGGTTGTCCCTATAAGTTAAGAGTCAGTCTGCAATGGAATCCTCCCCCACAGATATAGGACTGTCACCTTTGGGACAGCAGGTGCTGTGGTGGTGGTGCATTGTTCATCCTTCTCAAGGTAAGTCCCCTGAAAAGTGTGTTTTGTAAGAGCGCAGTTGTGTTTGTGTCACTGACACTCTTGGTTTCAGAATATTACCATAGTTTTTGACAGGGTCTGAAACTGTTTTGTTCTGAGGAGAAAATCAGACAGAAAGGCGTATCAGGTTATTCTCTACCTCAGAGTCAATAGCATCTCCAACTCCTGTAATGTTATCAAAGTGAAGAACCTGCAAGAGAAAAAGCCAGTGGTAGAAATAACAAACATGACCAAGAATTGTGTGAATTTGAGATTTACACATGATGCTTAACATTGAGTTGTTGGCTCAGAAAAATATATTGCTAACTGAAAACACAGATGAACTAAAAATTCAGAAGTGAGCTTGCAATTGGTTTATACCCTCTGTGGCCTTCTTGGGAACTCTAAATAATACTGTTTTCTTAGATGATAGTTTTTCTTTGGATGTCTAGAAATTAAATGAGTTCCATACGTACTGCTAATTGTATTCCTTTCTTCCTGGGGTTTGTGGGTTTTATATATTAAAAAAACCAACCTGATCACATTATCTGGAAGATATCAGAATTTAGACCAAAAAAAAGCAAACCATAAAATTTGACAACTGCTAATCTATTTTGTTATTGTTCTTGAGATTTTTTTCCTAGGTCATAACTAACTGTCCCTTATAGTGACAATATGCAACTTTCCTTAGTATTTTCTCAGAATAACTCTCAATCCAATTCTCCATTTTGTGACTATGGCTTACTCTTGTATATTAAAACAGGTGAGAAGCTCATCAGTGGTTAGTATATTTCAGTGATATTACTTAGAAGGAACCACAAGCACAAGCAGAGGTCACTTTACACCCATGTCAAGTAACTTACTTTCTCCATCTGAGACTGAGTGTTACCTCTTGCTCCCAGATAGACCATGGCCAGGGTTGAAATGATACTCAGGGAGGAGTAGAAGATGTTGTCGTTAACATGGTGGACTTTCAGCTCTTTGAAAACATCAAAAGCAAATTCTGCATTTGCTTCACTGATGGAGCCCATTGTGAAATCAATGCTGTCTAAAGCAAACAGAAAGAGTCTGGCTTATTATGTTGAAATACAATAATGGTAATGCAAGAAAGTCAGTACACTTGAACCGCTGAACTCAGTGCATAAGGTTTTTCTTTGCAACAAACAGAATCCAGTGGTATGGATTTAAAAGGCAGGCGTGCTTTTGGATTCGTGAGCAATGAACGTGCTGGGTAGGTACTGATTATGCATAAGCTGGTGATTGTCTTATTTGAAACTTGATTTCTCCCTCTCTGTATATATACACCATATAGTTGAAAATGTTGCAAAGAATATTAGTTACCTTGAAAGAAGCATATTAACAGTCTTTTCTTGTCTCTTAAGAAAAAAAGAATCAACATAGATATTTTTGAGACTCTAAATCAGGCTCTTCACTATCATTCTTTACATCACTTTGAAGATCAATAAAGAGATTAACAGGTCAGCCATCTATGATCCAAACTGCTGTTAATTTCAGTATACAATGTACATGTCTGAAACAACAGCATAAGTTTTGCTAGATTTGTTCTAATTTCAGCCTAGTGTAAAGAGAAGATAGATTCTTACACCACCTACTTTATCAGAGGCCCCCAAAATTAGCAACATTACTTTTACTTCTTTAAACAGGATTATAAAGGCATATCGTTAATTGCATCTCACTGTTTTAAAAAGGCGTTCTTTAATTTTTTATCACCTTTTCCATAAAATACACCCTTTAATAAGATAGTGCTTGTTCAGCCTTTTGATTAATTTGCAGAGCTCTTCACATCTTCTGTATTTAAGTATTTTTCTGCCCTTTTCCTCACATCCTTGTAAAATTTTCCCTGTATTTTCAGCACCTCACATTTTGTATAACACTGGAGGAAACTATTTTTTAATAAAGGAGACAATACAGAATAGAAAATACAATACTGTAAAGTCTAATACAACAGTATAGCATCTACACCACTTACAATTTCCCACATGTTGACACAAACAGAGAGAACCTTGCTAGGGTGGTGAGTTTTTTCTTTAATCTTAGAAAATGCGACTAAAAGACAATATAGAGCTGCAGTATGCTGGGGTCACCTGAGCACACTGCATTCCTTAATTTCATTCAGAGAATATCCATAAAAACTGCAAGTGAGCTTTAGCTGCACCCTCTGGAATTTAAGCAAATTCAATTTTGTCTTTTAATCCTTAATGAACAATTAAAGGGATAGAAGAAAAAGGAAGAAAGGCTGTCACAGCATATCACCAGCTTTCAACGTGAAACAGCTATTAAACAAAACGTTAGTTCATACAAACAAATACTTTGACTTTTATGCATGGTAGAATATGAAACAGTAAAGTAATGCAGAACACATGTGAAGGTGAGGTGAGGTGTCGGCAGAAGGCATCCTTTAATCATTTGTTTCTTCAACTAACACTGAAAGTCACAAACATGAGGTTACATCAACAAAACTTTTTGCAAGTTTTGTTACAGACAATTTTTCCTAAATTGCAGAAGAGAACTTCAATCATCATCAAAAGAAGTGCTTACCTTTTCAGCTTCACCTGCAAAGGTAATAGTACAGCTTCTCAGCTGTACTTGGTGCAGACTTGCCGAACTCCTGGGAATATATGTGTAATTTTGTGACACGCCCCACGCTGCCTGTTCTGTGTTTAACAAATAAAATGATGGATGGATCTCAATGTCCAATGTGTACTTTTACTTGGAATAAGTCCATTCTTCAAAAAAAAAAAAAAAAAAGCCTGAATGCCTGAATGAAAGAATTTTCCACTAAAATCCCTAACATGTCCAGAATGGGAGATTTATTCATATAGCACATGAAACCTTGCAGAAAAGGAAGGATCGTGTTGAACTAGCTGAAGCAAAAATAGTGTAACAGCTATTCATTGGAACTTGAATTGTAAGTATGATTTGATAATGGCAGGAAATAGTGTGGCATAGCTCATGAAAATAAAAAATGTGAGAAGTTGAGCCTTGCAGAATGTCTCTAAGGAATTTTGAGTTTATTTCTTAGTTATTCCTCTGTAATGAGTACTGACAGGCCAGCCCCCTTTCAGACTCTTTGTTCTATTAACTCAAAAAAATTATTAAGATCAGCATCTGAAGGACTGCTTGCTATGGTATGCCCACACTGTACTTATTGCAGCTTTTCTCTCTCCTGTTGCTGGCTGGACTACCAACATCACTGGTCTTTCTTTCAACCAGAATACATTGCTCTTGCTGAAGAATGGGGAAACTTCTGCTACCAAGGAACTTGAGAAAGAGCACATCCTTCAAATGTTAGTTGCCAAATTTAATAATATTGAAAAAGATTATTCTGCAAAAACATGTATGTAATTCCCCAGTGCCACTGTTTCAGTTTCACAGACCTCAGTTTCACAGCTTTTCATCCCACAGCAATCTAACTCAGGGAACTCAGACGTAGTCACAGTCTGTACAACACATCAGTAGAACAAAACCTTCAGTGAGCATATTGTGGGAATAAAAACTAATTTCAAAGGTAATATTCAGAGTATCTGTATAGAGAAGTATTACAGAGTTGAAGAAAAATGTATTGGGGAAACAAGGGTTGAGGTTGCTTTTCAAATTCAGGCATCAGGATATTTAGATCCCAGTCAGATTGTACCATAGAATCATAGAATGATTAGGATTGGAAGGGACCTTAAAGCTCATCTAGTTCCAACCCCCCTGACATGGGCAGGGACACCTTCCACTAGACCAGATTGCTCAAAGCCCTGTCCAGACTGGCCTTGAACACTGCCAGGGATGGGGCAGCCACAATTGCTCTGTGCAGCCTGTGTCATTGCCTCACCACCCTCACAGTAAAGAATGTCTTCTGAAATCCATCTAATTTAAATATTTCCTTTTTTAACTTAAAGCCATTCCCCCCTTGTCCTGTCACTACATGCCCTTGAAAAAGTCTCTTTCCATCATTCTTGCAGACCCCTTTAGGTACTGGAAGGCTGCTTTAAGGTCTCACTGGAGTCTTCTCCAGGCTGAACAACCAGAAAAGGATTCAAACTCACTGCTAAAATTTTGAGGAATAGTTTAAGGTGAGTTTGTCCTTTTCCACAGGTCACAGCACCAGATGCCAGATTCAAAATGTGCCTTTTGTGCATATAAAGACCATTTTTCAGATCTTCCATAAGTAACTTCATGGTACAGCAGGTGAACAAAACAGCTGAAAAAACATTCATGGTCTGCAGGACAGTCATAATATACAATAGCAAGCAGAAAAGTCACATAATTCCTTTGTAATGAAAGAATGAACAGACAATAAAAGAAACGGCTTTGACCTCTCTGAATGCCATGTGATTTTAAAACAGAAATCCAAAGTCAATACACAAAATGCCTCTGAAATTGTTTAGAACAAATCATGCTCCTGCAAAAAAAAAGAGGTGAACTCTTTAACCCTTTTAGTTGTCTATACAAGTGAAAAGCCTCTGAACTGTCCATGCCTTTCTCCTTAAGGCAGTCCTTGTTAGTCCTGTTAAGCTGAAGATGCTAGTGCAATAACAGCGAAGAGCTCAGTCTGGACTGGTGTACTTACATACCACTAGTATTTTACGTGGCACAACGACACACACCCAGGCTTGTCTGCTACAGCCATTGTTATGCAGCAAGCGTGCTTTTGAGGAAAGATGTTTAGCCCTTGCCTCACATTGTTCGCCCATCACTGCAAATCTTTTGTAAAGACAGTAAGCTATTCCCTCACAGGAGTGATACATAAATGGTACTACACCACTGTTTTAAGTCTGTTTATCTGAAAATGGTATCACCATGATGGTAGAAAGACAGATTAAATAGGTGAATGTGTCTGTACAGTGCTGAATACTTTTAATAACACGACTGGGAGAACTCTCTAAAGTGCAAGCTGTTCCTGTATCTGCTGCCTCTTCTGCTTTTTCTGCTTAAGACTGCTTTGATTTTGTTCAAACAGGCTTTAACACTCATGGCCATGGTCCATTGTTATATACTTTACAGCTCAGAAGTCAGAGGATTAGCCAATATGTTCTACCCTGTCAGTTATAACTTTCCAGTATGACTTGAATCTTTTTTCTTGACAACCAAATTGTCTAGCAGTACAGTCTGTCACTTTGGTATTTATGCACCATCTACCTGAATCACATTTGGATCATCCTAGTCAGCTTGTGACTTAGAAGATACAAAGATATCAAGTAAGCCAGTACAGTTGTTTCACAGCAGCCAATTTGTAGCATTAATATTGTTGGCAATGGCATGGTTTTTTAAAATAATTCCTAGTTGAATATATTCATTAATAAGAGCTGGAGCACTGCAACATCTTTCTTAAGGGTTAAAGAGGGAGGCAGAGCACCTTGGGAGAAAAGGTGATGCAGGAATCATAGGAAGATTGAAGGGAGAGTGCACATCAGTTATAACTATCCTGGCTTTGATGCTAAAATCTTCATTCCTTCTAGGCCAGGTTGGATGGGGCTTTGAGCAATCTAGTCTACTGGAACGTGTCTCTGACCTGGACAGGGGTTTTGGAACTAGATAATACTTAAGGTTCCTTCCAACCCAAACCATTGTGTGATTCTATGATTCTGTGAAAGGAATTTTTTTGCTTTGCAGTACAGAAGGGACAGTACACTCCTCTAGAAGCATGCCAATACACAAGCCAGGTTACAGTTTTTGTTAGCATTTCTATTTTTTGTTGGGCAAATCAATGGATTGCTCTTTCCAGAACAGCTGTGTAATGCACACAAAAACAAAAGGATGTGTTTTGCCACATGTCATTTCAACAATGCTTGTCCCAAGAAAGAGGTCAGCTAAGGCTTTGCTGTCCTTTACTCTGACAGGCATTTCATTGTGGTGCTGTCCCTAAACCAACAGACTCAAGCATTTGAGCCTTTCCAAAAGGATATGAAGTCCAGGTCAGCTCACAGACCAGAGCACAATCCAATCACAAGAGCCCACACGGAAATCCAGAGTTGAGCTCCCCTCCACTCTGGTGCTCTTTTGACAGTACAAAGGAGCATTTTGGTTGTTTCATGTTTGTCTGGCTCAGAGTGACTGCCAGTGATTGTTTAGTTAGTTGCCACTGCAGACCCTGTTGCTGTAGCTATCAATGATGGTTTATCTCTCAATTGTCCTTTCGGACTGTGTTCTTTCCCCACTCTGAAGAAAATTTGGTGTCTGGTCAAGCTTCTTCAGACAGGAGCTTGTAGCCCAAATGGCACTTATTACCCTGGAGAGGAGAAAGTTCAGTATGGTCTTATCCAGGTGCATAACTTATTTGATGGGAGGGTGAAAAGAAGATGGAGCTAGACTTTCTCTAGTGTTTTAGGCAAGAGAGAATTGACACAACTTGAAGTAGCATAAATTCTATTTAAACATATGAAAACACATTTGCTTATGAGGAGGGAGATAAAGCCAGGCTGCCCAAAGATGCTGTGGAGTCTCCATCCTTGGAAATATTCAAAACCCAGCAGGGTTGCTGTAGCTGACCTTGCTTGAAGAGGGGATCTTAGTGTAGACAGTTGACAGAAGTAACTTCCAGTCTCAGGTGTTCTGTGATTTTGTGTTATAAGTAAAGGAAGATCTCCAGGGAGATGGAGACAGCAGGGTTATTCTCCATTACTATGCAAAGTACTGTGGTACAGATAAGGCACTTACTATAGGAATGTATGGCAAGTCCCAGAGTACTGTTTCCATGTTGTACGGGGATCAGCATCATGTCATACTGGGGAGACCTGGGCCTCTCTTTGTGCTTTCTAAAGGTGTGTTAGTTGTATCAAGAGGTGCAGAAGGTTTCAGACTTTTTCTTGCCCCCATGTGTTACCTGCCAAGCCTTCCCTCTGGTGCTGCACAGTAGTCTGCCAGAGTAAAAGGGTCTCAATTCTTCAGAAAACAAAAAAAAACATAAGCCTTTGGAAGGCCAGTAGCAACAAGGAGGTTTTAGAGGTTTATTTATTTTTCTCTGTTTTCAACTAAAACATTTTGGAGCATTTTAATATTGTTTAAATTTTATTAAATTGCTAAAATAAAATATTGTTAAAATGAGAACCAGAACCATGCCTCGGAAATGAAACCTGCCAGGTGAAAGCATACAGTTTCTCATGCAGAGTGTTGAGTCCAGCATATGAACCTTTCCACTGCATGGTTGGTCGGTGGTTGAGAGCACAGGGTCTGAATCACAAAAGCCATCTCTCTGGGACACAAGAAGGACTGCTTGCCCCTAATATCCCTAGGGTTTTGGAATGCTCAGAGTCCACACCAGGCATTCATCATCCCGCTGGCCAGGTCTGACACCCCTTTCCTGGGGAATACTTTTCCACTGCCCTTTAAATATTGTGCCTCCTGCCTGGTTTGTGGTGACCAGGTCCAGGTCATAGCCATTGGCACTGTGTTGCAGGTTTGGTACAGTATTGCTGAATTTGCACTTTTTGCTGCATCCTGTTTCCCCTTTTGAGAAAGGGGAAACACAGAATCATAGAATCATAGAATAGTTAGGGTTGGAAGGGACCTTACGATCATCAAGTTCTAACCCCCCTGCCATGGGCAGGGACACCTCACACTAAACCATGCCACCCAAGGCCTCGTCCAACCTGGTCTTGAACACTGCCAGGGATGGAGCATTCA